TCACCATAAATTCCAAACACGAATTCTATTTATTAAAATAAAACAACGGGACCCGCTAAAAAAGTGCTTGGTTTGAAAAGTTCAATCGGGCCGAGCCGGTAACCGCTAAACCGGCCAGCACGGTACTGATTCCAAGGCTGATTTGAAATTGTTAAGTGTAAAATTTTTGTTTTCTGCTTAAAAGAGCANTTTTATAGAAAAAAAGACAGGTGATTTGAGCTATAATTTGAGTTCAGATTATTGTGAAAATTGATGAAAATATACAAAAAAAAGTGTGGATTCAAAGATGCCTATAAAAAAAAGGTATCTCTCGTCTTGATGAGTTCAATAGCGACCGATGACCGTGACATCATTCTTTCGAATGGTGAGAATCGTAGCTCTCTATCTCGTTCCTATAAAGAGTTATTCAAAAAACGGTAACATGCCTTTTATTTTGGATTGGATAATAGTTGTCGAGTATTAATCTGTTCGCATTAACAGCACTTGATTCATCGTATTCGTTTTCACATGTTTTGTTCATCTCTTTGATGAAAAAGAAAAATTTTCGATCAAAGACAACTCATGCATTTTACTTTATTTGATAGCAGATTAGATTCCTTTTCTCATGCATAAAACAATAACGAACAATGTTATTGACTGATATTATTCATAAGAAGTATTAAAAATCTTTGAATCGACTTTGAATAGCGAATAAATCAATCGATCCTATCGAATCATGATGGATTATTTTATGTTTTTCTTTTATCTTAGCCTCTTCGATGGTCAATCTCAGTTTATTTAGCTTTAATGATTTAGTATGCTTCCTACTTTACTATAGGCAATGACAATATCTGAATACCTACCAATGCTGCTGCTATGCATGTCCATCAACAGTGAAAACTATGACATATCTGAAAGTTTGCGCACAAGAAATTGAAAGAAACTCAAGCGCAAAGGTGGCGATGCTGTGATGTTTCATAGCGCTGTATATGTTTATATAACTGATAAAAGAAGTTTCATTCATGCTTGTCAAATGAACATAATAAGCGACTCACCTTCAACGAAGTACTTATTCTTGTAATACTTCAACGATTGTTTTTCTACTGTCCGTATTATCGGTTGTTATTTGCTTCTCGACTGATTTGCTTATTAGACTTTTCTACGACGACACAATTTTTGATTTCTTATCTTTTTGCTTTTCTTTCTAAGTAGTTTGTTTCATTTTATTCGATTCTTTTACAACGATGGACTCTGCCGTCGCAAAGAATAGCACTTATGATCAGAAGAAACTAAAAATCATCAGTGCAGTGTAATGACAAAAGTGTTATCGTATATCAACCGCTTTTATTTTCATTCAACAAACTTACTTTCATATCTTTCATCTCTCATAAACAGAGCGTATTCATTAACAGAACAGAAGAAGAACAAGAGAAAGAGTTGTATACACATATCTGCGTGTGTTTAAGGAAGAAACACACACGTCCAGAAGATAGATTAACTTATGTGTAGGTCTGAATGTGGATAAGATGTACAATTCTATTATACACGCATGCATATCCTACACTCACACCTCCCAACACTTTTTTAACCATCGTGTCCACACCAGATACTAAAGAAATATCAAATGAATCACTGTAGCGATTATTAAAATGTACCAGATGACTTAGTGATACCTATTTCCTTTACATTTTTCTTCGATTGCTATCTTACTTGATTTGTTGCCCATCCAAGAAGAGATGTTGCAGTGGCAATGACAATCGTATATGCAACACGAAATTTTTTATCATCGTATTGTATCTACATGTCACTGCAGTCGGAGTCTCAATAAAGCAAAATAATTATATTAATTCTATCAGAGTATTACTTCTGCATCCATTGCTCTGCTTAATACCTTTTACTTTATTTTGAGCTTCATGAAGAAAAATCGAAATCAACAAAAAACATAAAAAAACGAATCACACACGAAGAAAAAAAAAGCTTCATCTATATACTCTGCAAAAGTCACCCTTTCTCTGTCTTTGATATATAATGACATACCGATGATGTTTCTTTTAAGAGAAGGGATTGAGCACATGGACAAAGCAGAGAGAATAAAAAGCATAAAAAAATGTAAGGTATGATATAAAGACAGAACACCATATAGATTGTTCGAGTAGCTCAATCTGTGTCATGACCAATGGACATGACACAGAAAAAAAGAAAACTACTTACGATGAGAATACAACTAATAAGTGTTGTTGTACTTCGAAGAACAAGTAGCCAAATAGAAAGTGATGGTTGATATGGTGAATAACAATTTCGTTTTTGTGAAATGATTCCAATAAGCAAACAACACATACAAATTGCAGAGAAAAGAATAGGAAACAGAACAATAATGAGTGTTCGAAAGAATAATTTAACATTAGATTAAAATGAATCTGCATGAACTCGAGCTCTATTTGAAATAACGAATGGAACTGTTAAACGATTAGGCAAATAATTAATAAAGCGTCGTTGATTTGTCAAATCGTAATTAAGATTCACGTTTACGACAGAACTCTAGACAGAGATCACCTTGTTTCAAAATGTAGACAACAACGCGGTGATGAGCCGGAGTGTTTTCCACTGAACTAATTGTAACAAAAACTAGGTTAGGTTGCACGGAGAAGTTCGAACACTTGTCCATGCCTTGCTTATACTTATCTAGATCTAAAGATGCGTAATGCTCAGGACTGCAATCATAGATGTTCTATGTGTCTTGAATAAAAAGAAATAAGTAAAAGAAACTTCTTAGTGAAGATTCTTCCAGAACTAGTTTTGGGGGTGGGTGTGAATGTGGGTGTCAGGTACATGAATCCTTTTATGAAACTCTCATCCAAACCATGCTTAAACAGGGTTCTGTTTACTTCAAACCAAGACGTCACCGCTACTACACTCATAGAACAGCCCTATTTCAGTTATAATTTATAATTGTGACAACATTTTTTGGTGGTTTTCTGCTGTTGTTATAGGAAAAATCAATATTTCAAGAGTTATTTGAACTTAGTTTATTTTCTTCTGCCAATTGGGTTCCGTTTTTTCTCGAAATTTCCGTTTTATTCATATTCGAATTAGAGATCTGGTCATAATACACAATTATCTATCTTTCAAAGTGAATAAAATACAAATACGCTAAATATTCTGTCCTTTTTTTTAACGTACAGAACCTGTGTGATGTAAGTTTTTGATCTTATGAGTTTTTTCTTACCGTCGAAAATTTCATCATCAACTTTTTCAATAAAAATGCAATCGACTGACGTAAAAAAAAAAGGGATGTGGGTGTAAGTGTGAATGTGCAAAACGAAGACTCATCCGAACCCACATCGACACTCCCACCCTCATAAGCTTATTCTTCAGCATTTCAAATATCTTTCTAACTTATTCCTCCTTGTCATTGATTTGTATCACGTTGATATTGGGCATTGGTAAGCGAAAGAAAAAAGAATTCATCTCAGTAATCACTATCACCAAACCAATTTTGTATAGTTAAATCATCGACAGCAATAAAATGGCTACTGATTGCAGATGTATTCACTCGATGATATGTCCGTATTTGTTCCCATATATGACCTTTGAAAAAATAATTATGTCCTTCAGTTGGTTCAGGCAATAGATTCTGTCGTTCATCCACAACTCTGTCGCATTCTTTCAAGAAAATCCAATAAAAATGCCTAACCTCATATAGCATTTCCTTGACAATATGTATCACCATCGAATTATTCCATCGTTCCTTGTAGATAACTGACATTAGCTAACGAAGAAACCACCCAAGGTGCTAAAACGTTTTTTGGCTGGGGGTATGATGGTTAGGTAGGGCATGACTAGAGGTGATATATACTAAGTTGATTCGTGCGTAAGTTGCTTCTAGCAAGAGTTATGAAGTTTTCAAGTTACTTAGGGCATACCAAAAGTAGTGTTGTCATTGTCTTATTTCTATATAGAAAGCTTAAAGAAATTCTCTGTTTTTCTGTAATGAAAGAGAAAACGACGCTCTATTTTTCTGTGCTATTTGATCACTATCGAACTAATATCCTCATAATAAAATTACGATAAGAATCATTTTTGTGTAAAATGTAACGGTTGTACTAATTCTATTTCAAAAAAAAAAAGCTGAGTGGTTTTTGAATAACTACTCATAGCAACAAGATAGAGAACTGCGATTTTGCTGTTCGATAGAAGAGATGAAGATTCATCGAAATATATTTTTCGGATTTCTTCAGTCTGTTTTTTTAAAGTTTTCAATCGACTTCTTTGAAAATAAATCTACTTCGCGAGGTGCGCACAGAGAATGTTTAATTGTCAGGTGTGCATTCAAATCATCAGTAACAGATCTAAAAAGCTGCATAAGGTTGGCATGTTTTAAATTTATTTTTCAAAAGTCATAGGTATCCTAGTTGAAGCTGTAAGTGGTTTTTCTAGCAACGTCCATGAAAAAGTGTGTTCTCGCTGTTTGCTTTCTAATAAAAATTTTTTTTTTCTGACTCTTAGAAAATTGATTAAACAAACTTCAGACAAAATATTTGGAAAATCCATATTATACAATTCGATGCACCTTCATCTCTTCTTTCGGACGGTGAAAATCACAGTTCTCTGTCTTGTTTCTATGAAAAGATATCTAAAAGAGACTCAGCTTTGTTTTTTGAAATAGCGTTAGTACAACCGTTACATTTTACACAGAAACGATTCTTATCCTAATTTTATTATTATAATATTAGTTCAATAGTGATCACATAGCACAGAAAAATAGAGCGTCGTTTTCTCTTTCATTACAAAAAAAAAAGAAATGTTTTTTAATCTTTCTATATGGAAATAAGATAATGACGACATTACTTTTGGTATGCCCAAAGTAACTTGAAAAATTCATAACTCTTGCTAGGAGCAACTTGCGCACTAACCAACTTAGGATATATCACTCTTAGCCATGCCCTACCTAACTGTCATACTCCCAGCCGAAAAGCTTTTCAGCATCTCGGATGGTTTCCTCGTAAGACTAAAATTTCACCTCATGAAGTTCCTTCAATAACAAATGATATATTTATAAATATTAATTGGCTTTTATAATACCATGCACTATCTTTTTCCGAATACCAATCAGGTAATTCTTCGGATAAAAATTGACAATTATCAATGAACAATTGATGTGGAATACGTTGTATAGCATTTATTTGAATGATACATCTACCACGTTTATCTTTAATAACATGTTTAATGATGGTATTATAAAATACACGAGTAGTATTAAGTAATGGTAAGACAACACGAAAATGAAATTGTTCAAGAACAGAACATTTTGGAGGTACCCAACATTGATCAGTATTTTCAAGAAATTCAAGCATCTGCGCAAAGAGTGAACATTGATTGTTTAATTATGGATCAATAAAGCCAACATTTTGAGTAAAGTTCGTATCTTTATCTTTCATTGTATTAAAGGCGAAATTAGGTCCGCTAAGTAGTTCGCTAGTTAGTTCTCCATCAGCTCAATCAGTGATTCAAGTAAGCATGTATGTGCATTAAGCAAACTGACGATCGTCCATGATACAAATAGATGAATCAGTTGAATGTGTTGTGATAAAAAATATAATAATAAATACAAACATAGTTTCTTAATTAATTACAAGATATTATCTGAAAAATAAGAATATTAAGGTAGATTCATTCAAATAAGAATTGAATTCAATTGTATTCCGATTATTGTCTGTCCATTAAAAAAAGACTCGTTATTATTTGAGATCATGTCTTCTAACAGAGCAGGATAACTAAAGGTGAACATTATATTACCTGTTTCTTTTTTTATCTTGCATTACTATGCCTTCGCTTTCTAACATTCAAAACATACTGAGATAAATTATTATTAAATAAAGATTTAGGTTTGCACTTCGTGTTATTCTTTTAGTACAGATGAAGATTCAGATAGGGTGTTCTACCAAGACAATTAGTAATAAGAACGATTATTATTTCTGACGAGGTGAGCTTTTCGTTTGTATAAAGGATATTTCGCAAAATCACGTCGATTCATTACACCAAAACAATGCTCGTTCACAGGGGATTTTTTTGCTAGGAAATGGAATATAAACAGAATCGTCATGTAGCTTACAGTTTGCCAGGCAGCAATACAACGTACATTCGAAATCTAAAATAAGAAAATAATAATAATAATAAACACAAGGATTTTATCATCATTAGTTAAAGTATTGAGTTCCGGATATTCATATACTGAAACGTTTCTCAGTAGGATATCCATAGGAATGCTCTGCTACCGATATATTACAAGAATTCGATCGGGTACCCTGTTGAATATCATCTCAGTACGTGGATATTGGTATCATTATAAATATCCTTTGATAAAAAACTTCTCAACAATTTAGTGGATTAAACGTTCAGAAGTATTTTTAATGATGTGTCGACTGAGGATTAAGTACCCATAAGTACCTTAAGATATTGAAGTTTCTGTGAAATACTGAAAGCAAAATACTTTTTTCGACTTGAACTCAGTGCTTGCTCCAAAAATGATAATCAAGCATGAGTTTGTAAAGATAGACGCAAGAAAAAATTCAAATCATAAGAAAAAGTTGTTAATCCAATTCGTGTGAGAAGGAAATAAGAAACCCAATGGAACTGCTGTAATAGACTTCACTTTCATTGGTATGTCTGTCACAATCTGCAGATTAAAATTTCTACCCTTATACTTCAACATTCCTTAAAAGATCGTGTTCACAACATTCTGTCCGTATTTTCAAATGAAATTTTAATCTTACTATGTTCGATATTCCAGCAGCTGTTTATTTATCAGCCATATTTCTAGCAACTGAAGATTCTTGTTTTATATAACAATAAATTACATATCCATCGTGCATGGCTGAGATAATTCGAAAACAAGTCAACGCTGTCCGAATGATACATATATATATCGGTCATTCCTAAATAGTGACTTTCAGTAAATAAGATACACATTGAAAAGCACAAAACTGATATAAACAGCAGAAAATTTCATTTTTATTTTCAATAAATAATTGGCTAGATTAAAACATCGGCTTGATTTTATAGCGTTATCAACTGAGGGTTGACATCAAAACAAAAAAATGTTTTTCCTTGGCAGAATAAAACATACATTCGTCGAACATTTCAATAAACTAAATACATGCTTTTGTAAGTTAGCAAAACAGTAATCAAAATATGTCCGACTATCTGACTACGTTGTCTGTGGAATTAATTGATAAAATTCTCCATGATGTTCCTATGTTTGATATTTTCTTATCCATGTCTTTGGTCAACAAACGCCTTCGTTCTATTTGTTTAACCTATCCTCATTTTCAGCCGGACTTTAGTTTCGTGTTTACATCGGCGAACAAGAGTCAGTGTGACTGCATCTGTACCCAACAGCTTCGTTCGATCTCTCAAGTTGTATCCTTAACATTCTTCGATAAGAACGATCCGATAACATCTTGAAAAAATGCTCTTTTCTTCTCGCGATTCAACTGCATTGATAAAACATTTTTAAATCTTCGTTCGTTAACTTTGACATATATAAACTATGATACACGGTGCTTATTCAAATTTCGACTTTCCTCACTCATTGTGAAACTTTCCATTCATTTAATTCATACTGGTATATTATGTGCAAGTTCAATGACAACATCCGTTGTTTTAAGCAAACTACTTTTTTACTCGTCATCACTGAAACATCTCTCTCTCTCTCTCAAAATGAGTAACTATTCAGACAAGATGGTGATAATTCATCCTCAAAATACAGCCGTATCATCTTCTGTTCAATATTTTTATTTAGAAGACATTACAATTGATTTATCGAGTTATTTGCCGTCGTACCTATGCTTCATACATTTGAAATTCGTTTTGTTGATCGAGAATTGACATTCAGTCATATTCATTCTCAACTATTGCATTTGCAACAGTTTCGAATCGAATTATGGACTATATCTCGGACACAGATTGCGAATATACTATTGTCATTTCCATGACTAGCTCATATGACAGTAATTGCCAATGATTTGGATGACGATACGGCTGATTGTTGCAAGAGATCAAACATTTCGAGTGCAAACTTCAATTTGACTCGGACGCCTTCATTGGGCAGCCGATCGATTTCAATTCATTTCGGACGAAATTCTGGCTGGAAGAGAAAAAGTGGTTTCTTACTTACGATGAAAACGCATATACTGGCTGGTCAATACTTTATTCGAATCTCTGTTCTATTGATGACCATCTATCACATCCAACGATTGGAATTGTAGCATCAAATTCAAACAAACCAGAACTAACATCATTTCGTCATAGTTATTGCTCAGGGCTCAATTATCAATATCTAAATTCTGCGTTCTTACATCAGTTAATTTATGTCAACCAGGTGAACTCATTACGATGTGGTAATACATTTCCTATGACTTTCAGAAATCTTTATTATTATCTTGATGCATCGAGAATTATTACCTGTTATAGTAGATCCAGGTGGATTAAAAAATCGCCTGACAAACTCATTGACTTCTTACCCAATCTATCTCATTTACGTGCACTTAGTGTGTCTGGTTCTGTTCTCAACTATCTTTTTCTTCACCAATGACCTAAAATTGTTTATCTGGGAATCGAACGTGATTTCGACAATAGTTTTGTTCTATTACCTTCAACTGCAATTAAAGCACTTTGTCATTCGTTTCCTCACATCGAACGGCTCGACACATTCATATATCATCTGTCTATGATCTTCCACAACTTCTCAATTGAATAAAAATGACATTAACCGATATAATTATAAGACAGTCGCAAACCGTCAACTATGAACGATTGGTCACACGTGAATAGATCGAATGAAATACCGAACTAAAAAATTTTCACTACTCATGCGATGCGCAAAATTCTGTCAGTTTATGGTTTTGATAAATTCATAACATCGACATTTCACATATTGTTTTCTCCATGTATTGTATCATAATATTCATTATATAAGAAAAAATAAATCATTGAATAAATATTTACTTGTACAAAATCTATGAACGAAAGTTTAATATAAGAATACCCTTTTTTTCGGCTACATTACAATATATGATGCTGTCCGGAAACAGTTTCGAAAGTCCGATACTTTCACTGCAACTATTGCTAGTTGTAGTTCTGGAAAAAATGTCGACTTGATTCAGAAGTCTTCTGCTCAATGACTCGAACTTCCTGCACGCGACGGCTAGCGTATGTTTCCATATAGTCAGTATACTCTCGTACGGATGACCCGAGACAAACAATTGTTAGTGACTGATCTAAGGACATTCTATATCTGATAGCATCGAGACTAGAACACAGTAGCTTAGTAGTACGTGCCGAACAACCTAATCACTTAAGTACAGTGATTAGAAAGCATAAAGAGAAAACATCATATTCGAATATTTACGAAGTGCAAGGACAGAAATAATCAACACTAAAGCATTATTCTAGAATACAAGAAGTAGGAAATAGCATGCTATCCTTTGATGAATAGTTTTGTTTTTTGACTATTCAAGAGTTGATTGAGTTAATTCAATTTTCATAAATTCATTGTAGTTGAAGTAATATCTAGAAGTTTTTCATTAGACAATCTTTTGTAAATTAAGTCTTCTTCATCCCAAAAAGAACATCACTTATTGATAAAATATATCTCTTTGTTTTTTCTTTTCGACTAGGATAAGAGTTATTAGGGGAAAAAAAATCTGTTGTCCTTTCCTCAATGATACATTATTTTATGTATGACTTTTTCTGTTAATACATTTACATCGATATTTTTGTGCTACCATGATTGCGATCAAACAGATACATATAAATGTAGTATCACGTTCTGTTATACGCCAAAAAATGAATTGTACAGGTAAGATGATAATATAATTTTATGGTTTTTTCCATTGGTTCATTCTAAAAACGAGTTGTAATGAATATACAATTCACTATTTCTCTTTTCATGTTATATCTAGAAAAACTCATCCCTTACTGACATTCATATTTTCTAGATGACTCCACCTCTCGTTTCGCCTATGATGCTTTCAGTAACGGTTAATCAGCTTGCAGTCAATATTTTTCTACTACTACTGTTGGCAAATCGTACACTTAAATAATGAGTTTCACGATTCAACATATGTCGCCATCGACAAAACTGCAATTATATTGTTTAAATAAAATATAGTAAGTCGTTTATATTCTATGTACATCTGCAACAAAGATTAAAATTTCTTTCATATTTCAAAATGCAAGCTAATTAAATTCATGTCTTTCTCAAAATAATGATTAGTTGATTTCAATTTTTTTTTCAGTGAGTCAATTAAGTTGAATTATCATGATAAGATAATTATAACAGCAAAAAAATAAA